CGGGTTTTTTCCCCCCTCCCCCCATTTTAGGGTCTCCCCTCCCCCCGTTTTTGGGATTTCCCCCAAATTTTGGGTTTTTCCCCCATTTTGGGGGCGGTTTTTGGGTCTCACCCAGCTCCGGGGGGATCGCGAGTTTCCTCTTCTCCCCCTCGCACATCCTGGGGGCCAAAATCCCACAAATTCACCCCAAAATCCACCCCAAAATCCCGGGAATTCACCCCAAAATTCACCCCAAATTCCTGGAGTCCCAAAACCCTGGGAATTCCCCCCAAAAATCCTGGGAATTTCCCCCCAAAATCCCGGGAATTCCCCCCAAAATTTCAGTCCCAAAATCCCGGGAATTCCCCCCAGAATTCACCCCAAAATCCCGGGAATTCCCCCCAAAATCCGGGGATTTCCCCTCCCCCCTTTCTGAGGGTCCCAGTGCCCCTCCCAGGGCTCCAGGTCAGGGGTCAGGGGTCACTCAGGGGTCAGTGGTCACTCAGGGGTCACTCAGTGGTCACTCAGGGGTCACTCAGGGTCACTCAGGGTCACTCAGTGGTCACTCAGGGTCACTCACTGGTCACTCAGGGTCACNGCTCCTCTCCCCACACCGCTCCCAGTCCATCCCAGTTTACCCAGTTTACCCAGTCCATACCGTGTAATGCAGTGTCAGTACATCCCCCCTCCGGCTCCTCTCCCCGCAGCGCTCCCAGTCCATCCCAGTATCCCCAGTTTACCCAGTTTGTACCGTATAATGGAGCGTTAACACGTCCCCCCTCCGGGATCTCTCCCCGCACCGCTCCCAGTCCATCCCAGTATCCCCAGTTTACCCAGTTTGTACCGTATAATGGAGCGTTAACACGTCCCCCCTCCGGGATCTCTCCCCGCACCGCTCCCAGTCCATCCCAGTATCCCCAGTTTACCCAGTTTGTACCGTATAATGGAGCGTTAACACGTCCCCCCTCCGGGATCTCTCCCCGCACCGCTCCCAGTCCATCCCAGTATCCCCAGTTTACCCAGTTTGTACCGTATAATGGAGCGTTAACACGTCCCCCCTCCGGGATCTCTCCCCGCACCGCTCCCAGTCCATCCCAGTATCCCCAGTTTACCCAGTTTGTACCGTATAATGGAGCGTTAACACGTCCCCCCTCCGGGATCTCTCCCCGCACCGCTCCCAGTCCATCCCAGTTTACCCAGTTTGTACCGTGTAATGTAACGTGAGCACATCCCCTCTCCGGGATCTCTCCCCACACCTCTCCGGCCGCCTCCGGACCCCGATCTGCACCTTGCGCGGCTCGGCCGCCAGGGGGCGCTCGGGGGGCAGCGCCAGCGCCAGCGCCAGCAGCAGCCACTGAAAAATTATATAAAAATGTAATTTATTGGCATTTATTGGCATCTATTGGCATCTTAACAGCACCCTGAGTGTCACCCTGACACACCCTGTGTCACCGACAGCGCCAGCGCCAGCAGCAGCCACTGCAAATGTAATTAATTATCATTTATTGGCACTTAATGAGACCTTAATGAGACCTTAACAGCACCCTGAGTGACCCTCAGTATCCCTGAGTGCCACCCTGACACACCCAGTGTCACTGACAGCGCCAGCGCCAGCAGCAGCCACTAAAAATTATATAAAAATGGCATTTATTGTCATTTATTGGCATTTATTGGCATCTTAACAGCACCCTGAGTGTCACTGACACACCCAGTGTCACTGACAGCGCCAGCGCCAGCAGCAGCCACTGAAAATTAGAGTTAATTATCATTTATTGGCATTTATTGGCATCGTAACAGCAGCCTGAGTGACCCTCAGTGTCACCCTGTGACACCCAGTGACACTGACAGCGCCAGCGCCAGCAGCAGCCACTGGGAATTATAATTAATTATCATTTATTGGCACTTATTGGCATTTATTGTCACTCATTGTCACTTAACGTCACCTTAATGTCAATTATTGTCATTTATTGTCACTTTTATTGTCACTTTTGTCACTTTTATTGTCATTTTTTGTCATTTTTTGTCCCCCGTTAGCGGTAATTTATTGTAATTTATTGTAATTTATTGGCATCTATTGGCATCTTAACAGCAGCCTGAGTGACCCTCAGTGCCACCCTGACACACCCAGTGTCACTGACAGTGCCAGCGCCAACAGCAGCCACTGAAAAATTATATAAAAATGGCATTTATTGTAATTTATTGTCACTTATTGTCATCGTAACAGCAGCCTGAGTGTCACTGACACACCCTGTGTCACTGACAGCGCCAGCGCCAGCAGCAGCCACTGCAAAATGTAATTTATTGGCATTTATTGTCACTTATTGTCATTTATTGTCATTTAACGTCACCTTAATGTCAATTTTTGGCATTTATTGTCACTTTTATTGTCACTTTTGTCACTTTTATTGTCATTTTTTGTCATTTTTTGTCCCCCGTTAGCGCCGCCAGGGGGCGCTCTCACCCGGCGCGCCCGTGACGTCACCGCGGCGCCGCGCCCATGACGTCACCGAGCCCCAAACCGGCCCCCCGGGACCCCCCCATTTGGGGCCAAAAATGGTGATTCTAGGGACAGAAATGGCACCGGGAGGGACAGAAATGGGAGGTTTGGGGGTGAAAATGGAACTGGGTTAAACTGGGAGGGACTGGGAGGGACTGGGAGGGACTGGGAGGGGGGGAATGGGGATTTTGGGGGGGGAATGGGGATTTTGGGGCCAAAAATGGTGATTCTAGGGACAAAAATGGCACTGGGACGGACAGAAATGGGAGGTTTGGGGGTGAAAATGGAACTGGGACAAACTGGGAGGGACTGGGAGGGACTGGGGGGAGGGAAATGGGGATTTTGGGGAAAAAAATGGCGATTTTGGGGCAAAACCCGGTGATTTTGGGGTGGAAAACTGAGATTTTGGGGTCAAAAATGGCAGCGGGAGGGACAGAAATGGGAGGTTCGGGGATTAAAATGGAACTGGGCTAAACTGGGACAAACTGGGACAGACTGGGAGGGACTGGGAGGGACTGGGAGCACTGGGGACCCCCTCGGACCGTACCAAGTGCCTCGGGGGGGTGTCCCGTATTTTGGGGACCCCTCCCCACCCTCGGACCGTACCAAGTTTCTCGAGGGGGGTGTCCCGTATTTTGGGGACCCCTCCCCACCCGTTTTCCCCCCTCCCTCACACCCCAAACTTTGCGGGGGGTGTCCCCAGGTGTCCCGGGGTGTCCCCAGATGTCCGAGGGGGGGTCCCGTGTTTTGGGGACCCCCCCATGGTCACTGTCACCCCCCCGGCCATTGTCACCCCTCACGGGACCACTCGGACCCTACCAAGTGTCTCGGGGGGGGTGTCCCGTATTTTGGGGACCCTTCCCCACCCGTTTCCCCCCCTCCCTCACACCCCAAACTTTCCGGGGGTCTCCCCAGCTGTCCCGGGGGGGGTTCCCGCTCTCGGGGACCCCTCCCTGCCCGTGTCCCCCCTCAGGTTCACCCCGACGGGGACCCCTCGGACCCCTCCCGCCACGGCCGCTTCCTGCGCCTGGGGTCCTGAGGGGAATTTGGGGTCCTGGGGGGGAATTTTGGGGTCCTGGGGGGGAGTTTGGGGGTCCTGTGGTGGATTTGGGGTCCCTGGGTGGGTTTTGGGTGTATTTTGAGTGATTTTGAGCAGATTTGGGTCCCCTCAGGGCACGAGGCGGCCGGCGTGGTGTCCCTGGGTGGGTTTTGGGTGTATTTTGATGGATTTTGGGTGTATTTTGATGGATTTTGGGTCCCTCCAGGCCACGAGGCGGCCGGCGTGGTGTCCCTGGGGGGATTTTGGGTGTATTTTGAGTGATTTTGGGTGTATTTTGAGTGATTTTGGTCCCCTCCAGGGCACGAGGCGGCCGGCGTGGTGTCCCTGGGTGGGTTTTGGGTGTATTTTGGGGGATTTTGGGTGTATTTTGATGGATTTTGGGTGTATTTTGGGCCCGCTCGGGCCGGGGGGCGGCCCCGAGGCCCGTCCGCATCCTCATCCCGGCCGGGGGCGCCGCGCCGGGGCCGCCGCTGGGGCCGGTGCTGGGCCAGGTGCGGGGAGTTCCGTGAGGAACCGGGGGGGTTTCGGTTTGTCCCGAGCCGAGCCGACCCCTCCCCGGTTCTTCCTCAGCGCGGGGTCTCCATCGCCGCCTTCTGCAAGGACTTCAACGAGCGCACCCGCGACATCAAGCCCGGGGTCCCCCTGAGGGTCCGGCTGCTCGTGCATGTGAGTGGGGGGGAGGGGGGCACCGGGACCCCCCCGGGGCACCGGGACCCCCCCGTGACCCCCCCGGTGTCCCCCCAGCCTGACCGGACCTACTCGCTGACCATCGGGACTCCCCCCACCTCCTACTTCTTTTCAGTGATTTTGGTCCCCTCAGGGCACGAGGCGGCCGGCGCGGTGTCCCTGGGTGGGTTTTGGGTGTATTTTGATGGATTTTGGGTCCCCTCAGGGCACGAGGCGGCCGGCGTGGTGTCCCTGGCGCAGCTCTTCGAGGTGGCCGTGGCCAAGCAGAGGGACCCTGCGGTGGGCACCCGGGGCACGGCCCTGCCCGCCCTGGTGGGCTCCCTGGTGGGCTCTGCCCGCAGCCTCGGCCTGCTCGTGGTGCCCAGGTGGGAGAGACCCCCAAACTGACCCTGAGACCCCCAAAGTCACCTGAAACTGAGCCTGAGACCCCCAAAGTGACCCTGAGACCCCAAAAATGAGCCTCAGACCCCAAAACTGACCTGAAACTGACCCTGGGACCCCCAAACTGACCCTGAGACCCCCAAACTGACCCTGAGACCCCAAAAACTGACCCTGAGACCCCAAAACTGACCTGAAACTGACCCTGAGACCCCCCAAAACTGACCCTGAGACCCCCAAAGTGACCTGAAACTGAGCCTGAGACCCCAAAAACTGACCCTGAGACCCCCAAACTCCTTTGAAACTGACCCTGAAACTGAGCCTGAGGCCCCCCAAAGTCACTCTGAGACCCCCAAAACTGAGCCTGAGACCCCAAAAATGACCCTCAGACCCCCCCAAAGTCACCCTGAGACCCCCAGAGTGACCCTGAGAGCCCCAAACTGAGCCTGAGATCCCCAAAAACTGCCCCAGGCAGCACCAAAAACGCTCCCAAATCCACCCTGATCCCCCAAAACGTTCCCAGAACAGCCCCAAAGAGCCCCAAAACCAAGCCCCAAACCAACCCCAACTGACCCCGGCTGCCCTTTGGCCCCTGTCCAGGCTGACCTTTGCCCTCTGACCCCCAGGCTGACCCCCCAGGCCGTGGCCGAGGTCCAGCGGCGCCGCCGGGAGCTGCAGGCGGCCGCAGCGCCCCCTGGCGGCCAGGAGGACCAGGGGGCGGCCGGGAGGAAGTGACCCCAAAAACACCCCAAAAACACCCAAAACCACCCCAAAAAACTCTGAGGGGGATCCCCAAAAACACCTCAAGCCTGAGAGGACCCCCAAAATAATGTGAAAATCTGACGGGACCCCCCCCCCCAAAAACACCCCAAAAACACCCAAAAAACACCCAAAAAACACCTCAAAAACCCTGAGGGGGATCCCCAAAAACACCTCAAGCCTGAGAGGACCCCCAAAATAATGTGAAAATCTGAGGGGACCCCCCCCCCAAATACACCCCAAAAACCTGGGGGGGGACCCCAAAATATCTAAAAACCTGAGGGGGACCCCCAAAAAAACCCAAATCGGAGGGGACCCCCCCCCCCAAAAACACCCCAAAAACCTGGGGGGGGACCCCAAAATATCTAAAAACCTGAGGGGGACCCCCAAAAAAACCCAAATCGGAGGGGACCCCCCCCCCCAAAAACACCCCAAAAACCTGGGGGGACCCCCCCCAAAAAACACCCCAAATCTGAGGGGACCCCCAAAAACCCGGGGGGGGACCCCAAAACATCTAAAAACCTGAGGGGGACCCCCAAAAAAACCCAAATCGGAGGGGACCCCCCCCCAAAAACCCCACGGGACCCCCAAAACTGGGGGGACCCACCCCAAAAACACCCCCAAGCCCTGAGGGGGACCCCCAAAAAAACCCAAATCGGAGGGGACCCCCCCCCAAAAACCCCACGGGACCCCCAAAACTGGGGGGACCCACCCCAAAAACACCCCCAAGCCCTGAGGGGGACCCCCAAAAAAACCCAAATCGGAGGGGACCCCCCCCCAAAAACCCCACGGGACCCCCAAAACTGGGGGGACCCACCCCAAAAACACCCCCAAGCCCTGAGGGGGACCCCCAAAAAAACCCAAATCTGAGGGGATGCCAAAAACTCGGGGGGACCCCCCAGAACCACCCCAAACCTCGGGGGGACCCCAGAACCTGGGGGGACCCCCCCAAATAAAGAGCTCCTCCCTCAGAGCCGCGTGGGGTTCGTTACTGGGGAGGGGTCCCGGCTGACCCCGCTGTGGTCACTCTGAGACCCCCGTGGTCACTCTGACCCCCCCTGTGGTCACTCTGAGACCCCCGTGGTCACTCTGAGCCCCCCGTGGTCACTCTGAACCTCCCGTGGTCACTCTGAGCCCCCTGTGGTCACTCTGAGACCCCTGTGGTCACTCTGAGCCCGCTGTGGTCACTCTGACCCTCCCGTGGTCACTCCGACCCCCCCGGGGTCACTCTGAGCCCCCTGTGGTCAGTCCAGAGCCCTCCGGTCACGCTGACCCCGCTGTGGTCACTCCAAGCCCCCAACTGACCCCTCCCTCTCCCCACGGACCGTTCCCTCCCTCCCTTGGGGGGCGGCGCCGGTGACGCGGCGCTGACGCGGGGCCGGGCCCGCATAAAGCGGCGGCCGCGGGCGGCGGCGCGGGCGGAGGATGCTCCGCTCCACCAAGGGCGCCTCCAAGGCGCGCCGGGACCAGATCAACGCCCAGATCCGCGCCCTGCGCGACCTGCTGCCGCTGCCCGACGGCGACCGGCCGCGCCTCTCCTACCTGCACGTCATGGCGCTCGCCTGCATCTACACCCGCAAGGGAGCCTGCCTGCGCCCAGGTGCGGCACGGCGCGGGGACGGCACCGGCACCGGGACCGGGAACGGAGCGGGGACGGGGACCGGGGATGGGACCGGGATGGAGCGAGGAAGGAACAGGGATGGGAGCGGGGATGGGGACGGGGACGGGACCGGGATGGAGCGGGGATGGATCAGGACCAGGGACAGAACCGGGGATGGGACCGGGAACGGGAATGGGACCGGAGCGGGGACCGGGATGGAGCAGGGATGGGAGCGGGGATGGATCAGGACCAGGGACAGCACCGGGGATGGAGCGGGGAAGGAGCGGAGACCGGGGACAGGATGGAGCAGGGATGGGAGCGGGGAGGATGCTCCGCTCCACCAAGGGCGCCTCCAAGGCGCGCCGGGACCAGATCAACGCCCAGATCCGCGCCCTGCGCGACCTGCTGCCGCTGCCCGACGGCGACCGGCCGCGCCTCTCCTACCTGCACGTCATGGCGCTCGCCTGCATCTACACCCGCAAGGGAGCCTGCCTGCGCCCAGGTGCGGCACGGCGCGGGGACGGCACCGGGAACGGAGCGGGGACGGGGACGGAGCGGGGATGGGACCGGGAACGGGACCGGAGCGGGGACGGGGACCGGGGATGGGACCGGGATGGAGCGGGGATGGAGCGGGGATGGATCAGGACCAGGGACAGAACCGGGGATGGGACCGGGAACGGGAATGGGACCGGAGCGGGGACCGGGATGGCACCGGGACCGGGAACGGAGCGGGGACGGGGACCGGGGATGGGACCGGGATGGAGCGAGGAAGGAACAGGGATGGGAGCGGGGATGGGGACGGGGACGGGACCGGGATGGAGCGGGGATGGATCAGGACCAGGGACAGAACCGGGGATGGGACCGGGAACGGGAATGGGACCGGAGCGGGGACCGGGATGGAGCAGGGATGGGAGCGGGGATGGATCAGGACCAGGGACAGCACCGGGGATGGAGCGGGGAAGGAGCGGAGACCGGGGACAGGATGGAGCAGGGATGGGAGCGGAGCGGGGACGGGAACGGAGCGGGGATGGAGCGAGACCGGGGATGGGACCGGGGAAGGAGTGGGGATGGAGCGGGGACCGGCGGGATGGGGACAGGGACAGGGATGGAGCGGGGATCGGATGGGTACGGGGACAGAACCGGGAATGCAGCGGGGATGGAGCAGGACCAGGGACAGCACCGGGGATGGAGCGGGGATAGGAACGGGGAAGGATCGGGACGGAGCCGGGATGGAGCCAGGAGAGGGACCGGGATGGAGCGGGGATGGGACCGGAGCGGGGACAGAACCGGGAATGGAGCAGGGAAAGGGATGGAGCCGGGAGAGGGAGCGGGGATGCGGCGGGAGCGGGGATGGAACAGGGTTAGAGCAGGAGCGGGGACGGAGCCGGGAACGGCACCGGGAAGGGACCGGGGACCGGGATTGAGTGGGGAACAGCACCGGGGTGGGACCCGCACCAGGGATGGGACCGGGGACCGGGGATGGAGCCGGGATCGACCCGGGAATGGCGCCGGGAAGGGACCGGGGGTGGCACCGGGAAGGGACCAGGGATGGCGCCGGGAAGGGACCGGGGATGAGACGGGGCTGGCAGCAGCCACCGGCGTCTGGCAGGGACCGGGCTGGGAGCGGGACGGGGACGGGGACCGGGATCGGGGACAGGGACCGGGACAGCGACAGGGACAGGGACAGGGACAGGGACAGGGACGACCGGGATTGAGTGGGGAACAGCACCGGGGTGGGACCCGCACCAGGGATGGGACCGGGGACCGGGGATGGAGCCGGGATCGACCCGGGAATGGCGCCGGGAAGGGACCGGGGGTGGCACCGGGAAGGGACCAGGGATGGCGCCGGGAAGGGACCGGGGATGGCACGGGGCTGGCAGCAGCCACCGGCGTCTGGCAGGGACCGGGCTGGGAGCGGGACAGGGACGGGGACCGGGACGGGGACCGGGATCGGGGACGGGGACAGCGACAGGGACAGGGACAGGGACAGGGACAGGGACAGGGACAGGGACCGGAGCCGTTCAGCACCGCGGAGAGCGGCCGGAGGTTCCCGTTCAGCACCGCGGAGAGTGCAGGGACCGGGCGGGGCAGCGGGACCGGGACCGGTGACAGGGGCTGGGATTGGTGACAGGGACCGGGAACGGGGGACAGGGACACGGGGACCGGGACAGGGACCAGGATCTGTGACAGGGATCGGGATCGGGATCGGGGACAGGGACTGGGGACAGGACCGGGATCGGGAATTGGTGACAGGGACAGAAGCCGGGACAGTCACAGGAACCGGGACAGGGAGAGGGACAGGAGCCGGGGACCGGGACAGTGACAGGGACCGGGACCGAGCCGGCCGCACACCGGGAGGGCTCCGGCCGCCAGCGGGGGCTCCGTGGGTGACGCTCCGGGGCCGGGCGGGCTCTGAGCGCTGTCCCCGCGTGTCCCCACGCCAGGCCCGAGCCGGGGGGCGCCCCTGGAGCTGCTGGGGGGAGCGGAGCTCGCCGACCTGGTGGCCTCGCTGCCCGGCTTCCTGCTGGCCGTGACCCGCGAGGGGAAGCTGGTCGGGGTCACCGACAACGTGGCGCAGCACCTGGGCCACTCCATGGTGAGCGGGCGGGGGTCCGGGGGGCGTGGGGTTCCGGGCTGAGAGAGGAGGAGAGGGAGGGATGGGATGAATGGGGAGACAGAGGGGTGGACAGAAGGACAAAGACGTGGACAGAAGCATGGACAGAAGGACAGAGGGATGGACAGGAGGACAGAGGGGTGAACAGCAGGACAGGACAGACAGAGGGACAGACAGGAGGACGGAGGGACAGAGAGGAGGATGGACAGAAGGATGCACAGCAGCACAGAGGGACGGACAGGACAGACAGAAGGACAGACAGGACGGACAGCCGCACAGAGGGGCGGACGGATGGACAGACAGGGATGGACAGCAGCACAGAAGGGTGGACAGGATGGACAGAGGGATGGACAGGACAGACAGAAGGATGGGCAAAGGGACAGAGGGGTGGACAGAATGATGCACAGCCGCACAGAGGGACAGAAAGAAGGATGGACAGAAGGACAGAAGGACAGGACAGAAGCCCCAAGAGAGCACCCACCTCTCCCCTCTCCCCCCAGAGCGCCTGTTCCGCTGCCGCTTCACCACCTCGCGCGCCTCGCGCCGCCCCAGCGCCGGCCGCAAGCTGGTGCTGCTGCGGGGGCGCTTCCAGGAGCCCCCCGCGCCCCCCGGCGCCGCCCCCGCGCTCTTCGTGGCCTTCTGCGCCCCCCTGGACCCCCCGCCCTGGCCCTGCCCCGACTGCCTGCTGCTGCCCGCCTTCCAGAGCCGCCACGGCCGCGACCTCGCGCTGCTCGACGTCTCCGACAGGTGGGGTCACTGGGGGTCACGGGGGGTCACAGGGGTCACCGGGGGGTCAGCTGGGTCTCATCTGGGTCTCACCTGGGAGGTCTCCCGGGGGGTCTCTGGGGTGGGGGTCCCGCGCTGCTGGTCAGCGAGTGACCCCCGCTGTGTCCGCAGCGTCCTGGTGCACCTGGGCTACGGCCGGGCCGAGCTGCTGGGGCGCTCCTGGTACCGCCTGCTGCACCCCGAGGACCTGGGGCACGTGGCCCGCCAGCACCTGCGCCTCGGTCAGTGTGCCCTGCTGTCCCCAAGTGTCCCTGGGTGTCCCTGGGTGTCCCCAAGTGTCCCCTGGGTGTCCCTGGGTGTCCTTGAGTGTCCCCTGGGTGTCCCTGGGTGTCCCCTGGGTGTTCCCTGGGTGTCCCTGGGTGTCCCTGAGTGTCCTTGAGTGTCCCCTGGGTGTCCCCTGGGTGTCCCTGAGTGTCCCCTGGGTGTCCCCAGAGGCTCAGGACCCCCACGTCACGCTCGGGGGGCAGCACTGGCACCCCTGGGTGTCCCAGTGTCACCCCTGGGTGTCCCCAGAGGCGCAGGCCCCCCACGTCACCCTCGGGGGGCAGCACTGGCACCCCTGGGTGTCCCTGAGTGTCCCCTGGGTGTCCCCAGAGGCTCAGGACCCCCACGTCACGCTCGGGGGGCAGCACTGGCACCCCTGGGTGTCCCAGTGTCACCCCTGGGTGTCCCCAGAGGCGCAGGCCCCCCACGTCACCCTCGGGGGGCAGCACTGGCATGTCCCCTCCCCACTGACCATCCCCTGACCCCGCTGACCATCCCCATCCCCGCTGACCGCCCCGTGTCCCCGCAGCCGGCGCGGGGCCGGAGGCTCGAGGCGAGGTGGTCACTCGGCTGCAGCGCAAGGACGGCCTGGGCTGGACGTGGGTCTACGCCCGCCTGCGGCCGGAGGGGCCGGCCCTGCTCGCCCACAACTTCGTCATCAGGTCAGTGCCCGGCGGTCAGTGGTCAGTGGTCAGTGGTCACTGCCCAGTGCCCAGCGGTCAGTGGTCACTGCCCAGCGGTCCCTGCCCAGCGCCCAGCGGTCTCGGCCGCCCCGGGCCCCCCCGGTGGCCGCAGCCCCGCTGACCCCGTGTCCCCCCGCAGCGAGGCCGAGGCCTGGTGCCTGCGGCAGCAGCTGGCGGCCGAAGCCCCCCCGGGACCCCCGGAGCCGTTCGGGCCCGGCCTCGACTTCCCCGGCGGCGACCTCGGGCCCGGCCTGGACCTGACCATGGCGCCCGGCCTGGGCGACGGCGTGGCAGCCATCGGCCTGGCGGTCAGCGGCCTTGGAGCCGGCGTGGGCCTCGGACACGGCGCTGCGGCCGCCGCTGACCCCAGCCTGGGGCCTGGCCTTGGACACGGCCTCGGACACGGCGCTGCGGCCGCCGCTGACCCTGGACTGGGGCCTGGTGTTGGACACGGCCTCGGACACGGCGCTGTGGCCACTCCTGACCCCGGCCTGGGGCCTGGTGTTGGACACGGCCTGGCAGCCAACACCCCGGCCACCGTTGACCCTGGACTGGGAGCCACCATTGGACACAGCCTGGGATCCAGCACCACGGCCACCATTGATCCTGGACTTGGGGCCACCATCGGACACGGCCTCGGACACGGCGCTGCAGCCACCACTGCGGCCACCATTGATCCTGGACTTGGGGCCGCCATCGGACACGGCCTTGCGGCCACCACTGTGGCCACCATTGACCCCGACCTCGGGACTGGCATCGGACACGGCCTCGCGGCCACCTCTGCGGCCAGCGTTGACCTCGGGCCCGGCGTCGCCCCGAACGTCGGCCACGGCCTGGGCCCGGAGCCCGGCATGGGGCTGGGCGTGGCAGGCGGCCTCAGAGTGGACATTGGCCTGGGCGTGGCGGCCGGAGCCGACGTGGACGAGCTCGGGGCGGGCGGCGCGGCCGAAGTGACCGCTGGCATCGGGGCGGGCGTGGCCCTCAGCATCGGCGCCAACATCGGGCCCGGCCTGGCCGGCGGCGCCATCAGGGCCAGCGTGGGGCTGGGCATCGCCCCGGACATCGGAGTGACCGTCGGGGCCGCCCTGGGAGCCAACGCGGGCCCCGCGCTGCCGTCCGGTGCCAGCCCCGGCCTCGGGCACAGCTCCGGGCTGGGACAGAACCCTGGCCTGGGACAGAACAACGGACTGGGACAGAACCCGGGAATTGGACACAATCCTGGACTCGGACAAAACCCCGGCCTTGGACAAAATTCCGGCCTTGGACCAAACCCGGGCCTCGGACACAACTCTGGAATTGGACACAACTCTGGCCTGGGACAGAACCCTGGCCTTGGACACAATCCTGGACTCGGACACAACGCCGGCCTTGGACACAATCCCAGCCTTGGACAAAATTCCAGCCTTGGACCAAACCCTGGCCTTGGGCAAAACTTGGGCCTCGGACAAGACTCGGGCCTTGGACATAATGCCAGCCTTGGACAGAACCCTGCACTGGGACAGAACCATGGACTGGGACAGAACCCCGGCCTTGGACACAATCCTGGACTGGGACACAATCCCGGCCTTGGACACAACTCTGGACTCGGACACAACCCCGGCCTAGGACCAAACCCCGGCCTTGGACCAAACCCCGGCCTTGGACCAAACCCCAGCCTAGGACCAAGCCCCAGCCTAGGACACAATTCCAGCCTAGGACACAATTCCAGCCTAGGACCAAACCCCGGCCTCGCCGTCGGGCCCGGCCTGGGCTCCGCCGTGGGCCTGGCGGCCGGAGCGGCCCTGGGCCCCGAGCTGGACATTGGCCTGGGCGTGGACGTGGCCCCCGCGGCCGGGCCGGGCCTGGGCTCCGGCCCCGCGCTGGGCTCGTGGGG